GTATCCAACTCGAACGCCAACAAAAACGCTGGTGTGCCTCAGTATACTACAGAGGCAATCAGTTTAAAAAAAGATTTTCATCGGGGCGTTGGGGGGCCCTCGGTGCCTTCTATGCTGCGATAGAGTGGAGACAGATACAGTGTAAAAAACTGCAGCGCCTCAAGGCCCTAGCTTTGTCTCCCGAGGGGGGCCCCCATACGGGGGCGAACAATGCGGGACAGAGTGGAGGGGAGGAAGGGCAACAGATCAATGCAGCAGCAGCAGCAGCAGCAGCAGCAGCTGCTGCTGCTGCTGCTGCTGCTGGTGCTGCTGGTGGGGGTGGGGGTGCTGTGGATGCTGCTGCTTGTGAGACAAATGGGGATGAGATACATGCGGGATTTACACAGCAGCAGCAGCAGCAACAGCAGCAGCAGCAACAGCAGCAACAGCAACAACAACAGCAGCAGCAGCAGCAACAACAACAGTTGCTGCTGCTGCTGCATATGCCGTCATCTCAAGAAGAGGGATTTATGCGAAATACTATGGCCAATGCACCGCCACCTGCTGCTGCTGCTGCTGCTGCTGCTGCTGCAGTGCAGCAGCAACAGCAGCAGCAACTGCAGCAGCAGCAGCAGCAACCACAGCCACCGCAGCTAAAGCCTATGGACTGTTTGGTGCCCCCTGTCGCGCTGCAGCAGCCGCAGCACCACCCGCAGCAACAACAGCCGCAGCAGCAGCAGCAGCAACACCAACAGCAGCAGCAGCAGCAGCAGCAGCAGCAGCAGCAGGGTGAAGCAGAGTGTAGGAGCCCTCCCGCTCGAGGCCCATCGCGGCCTCCGCGTAGAAACAGTCGCCGTCGCCTATGGGAGCAGCAGCAGCAGCAGCAGCAGCAGCAACAGCAGCAGCAGCAGCAGCAGCAGCAGGGTATATCAGGAGTAAATGTAAATGCTGCAGCACTGTCTCCTCCCCGCTGCACTGTCTCCTTTGGCTCCCGCCGCCGCCCCGCAGCAACTCGCTCATCCCGTCTGCATCTATCTGTCTCCTCTCCCCTTTCTCTCCTTTCTCCCTCTCCCTCTCACCCCGCACCCCCAGCAGCACCCCCAGCAGCAGCAGCAGCAGGAGCAGCAGCAGCAGGAGCAGCAGCAGCAGAGGAGGAGCAAGACCTATCAACCCCACCACCAGGAGACGAACAGGTGCACTGGCATGAAGGCTTTCGTCTCCCCTTCGGCACAGAGGGGCGCAACCAGCTGCTGCGGCGGCTGCGGCAGCTCTATCACGCAGACACAGCGCGGTGGGGCCCAGCCCTGGAGCAGCATAATATATCTTTCTCTCGTGTCCCCTTTGCTACTGTCTCCGATCTGTGGAGAATAGCACACGTCATGGGCTGCTTCGGCTTCGCTCTGCACCTCAGCAGAAAGTATGCGGGAGGAGCTGCAGCAAGAGCTGTTGCACAGCAGCAGCAGCAGCAGCAGCAGCAGCAGCAGCAGCAGCAACAGCAGCAGCAGATTGCTGCGCAGCAGGGGAATGCTAGTAACCCCTGTCATATACACTTACATCATCATACACTTCAGCAGCAACATACAGCCGGGAGAAGTATTTAATATATATATATATATATATATATATATATATATATATATATATAT